CTGTTTAAAATTAGTGGCTTACCCTGCTGTGGGATAAAGTCCATTCCATGATCTGGTCTCTGCTTAACTTTCCTTCTCACTGCTCCTCCTCAACCTTTCCACATCTACTCGAAGCTACTTGCATTTCTAAGAATGACTGCTCTTTCCTTTACTTCCAAAATTTCAACCACAATGTTCTGTCTGCCTGGTATTTCATTTCTCTTGTTTTACACCTGGCTAAATCCTAGTCAACCTTGTGGACTCCAGTGTCATCTCCTCTAAGAATCCGTGCTTTCCATCTGTTTGAGTGAGGAAACACTCTTCTGTGCTTCCAGAGAGTACGAATCAAAGCTAATTCATTTGTGTTTCTCCCTTTTGAAGGGCCAGGGACTGTTTTTTNATAACGTAAAGTTTGCATTGTAACCATTTTTGAGTGTATAGTCATTTATCATTTTATCTAGAGTCATCCAAAGTTTATTTTGGTGGATTAAATGTATAATTTAAAATTATTCATTTAGGACTCTCCTTTTTCTTGGCAAGATGGTGGAATACAACTTAACTGCTCTCATTGTGTACTTTTGGGACTGTAATCCTGTGGTAGATGTGATGGTGGTGGTGTACGTGTATGAGTCTGGGGTGAGTGGTTGAATGAAAGGGTTTTGCTGCTTGAGTTTCTCTTCATAAAAAAGATATAGAATGGAAAAGAATGATGACATGGGCAACTGTATCTTCTTAGTGATACCACATGGGAGCCTTTGTGATGGGAGTATGCAAAAAACCTTTATTTTGATGATATTCTTCATGCTTTGAGAAAAGAAGGGACAGTAGTTATAGTATTTCAAACAGAAATAAACCAACTGGGGAGAAGTTTTAAGTCCCAGAAACTACAAATGCAGTCCAAGAGGGATGGTCAGACATTATTAAGTTTCCTGGCTGAAAAACATAGTTTTAGGTAGACGTATTTACATGGGCTCTACAGCATATTTCTCAAACTTTTTTTTCTTTATTCTGTACCCTCCTCCACTCCCCCATTTCTATTTTAGATTTTCTTTTTCAAACTAACCCCCTAAAAAAACTTCAATACCACAAATGTACCATATGTCTGGTTATATATTCTATGTTCTACATATACCTGTGCTTCATACATAAAAAGAGTAACATTTTTTTGCCACCAAGAACTACCTCTCTGTGGGCCATATTGCCCTCATTGCGAGGCATGCTCTACAGTCTCAGCATGAACATAGTAATTACTCAGGATCAGCAGAATATCATTGCTCTTTCAGAAAACTNCAGCTTACTTTGCATAAAGCCGACTATTTTCCTGCTCTGTTGCTTGGCTATATGGTACTCCCCATGAAAACATAGGTGTGTGTTGAGGGAGAGGCATTGAAGCAGTGAAACAGAGCACCATGGAGACTAAGTTCTCCACTCATGTGTTTTTCTTGTGCCTCTGGAACATTTTGGTTCATCTCCTATATCTTATAGATGCCATTTTCACTTAATAATGGGATGCTGCTCAACGTGCTCAATTAACATTTGGTGGATCACATAACAACCAGTTCATTATGGGTAGTTCAGGTTGTATAGTTACTTGGTGTTATGGGTAGAATTGTGGCCCCTCCAAAAAAGATATGTTGGAGTCCTAATCCTCAGTATTTCAGAAAGTCACCATTTTTGGAGATAAGGTCTTCACAGAAGTAATCAAGTTAAAAAGAAGTCATTATGGCTGCCTCCAATTTAATATGACCAGTGTTGCTATAAAAATGGGAAATTTGGACACAGAGACACACATAGAGAAAAGATGATGTGAAGATGTGAAGAGACACAGGGAGAAGGTAGCTATCTACAAGCCAAAGAGGGATGCTTGGAACACAACCTCCCCTTACAGCCCTTAGAAGACAACAACCTTGCCAATCCCTTGATTCTAGGCTTCCAGCCTCCAGAACTGTGAGACTATAAATTTCTGTTGTTTAAGCCACCCAGTGTGTGGTACTTTGTTATGGTAGCCCTATCAAACGGATATACTTGGTGTTCTATGATCATGCTTTCAGTTTCTACCAAAACTCTGTACAGAAAGAGCAGAGCTGAAGGGGGTGGNTTTCTGGGTGTGTATAGTTCTGCTGAAGTCATTGTTTCATATGAAAACACTTAACCTTCTCTTAGAAGGTTCAGACCCTTCTCAGGGGATGAACGTGGGTTTGCTCATTTCTTCCTCCTTACTTTTGGCTGTTTATTTCTTTGCTTCTTACATAATCTAGGGCTTTTTCTTTCAATCAAAATCTTCCTTTCCTTCATTTTCTCTTCTTTTTTTACTTTTTTCCATTTATATTTCTTCTTTCCAACCTCCCCCCCACTCTTCCTTCAGGTATTGGTTTGACTTTGAACCTATATTAACAATATAAGAACATTTCTTGGGTAATGACTCCAGATTCTTTGTAAGAATGCTGCCCTTACAATGGCATAGCTGAGGAATGGTATTGCTGATTTCATGAAAATGTTGCATTCCTGAGCTTTTGTCTCTGTCCCTTACAATAAGGCAGGAGTTGAAACAAGATGATTTCCATTTTCTCTTAAGAAATATGAGGAGACAAATACGTTGAGTGGTGTGTGTAAATAAAGCACACAATGAAACCACATCTCCACCCAGTTGCCCATGAGGTATCCTTAGCAACACTCATCTTACTTTCTGTGTCTCCAGTGAATAAAGCCTAATCATTCACATTCCTGAGTAATTCTGTAGACTCCACATTCTGGTCTGCACCGTGAGTCTCCTGGGACGCTTCCCTTGCTCCCGCTTCCAGCCTTGACCCACTTCAACCCACCTTCCCACTGTCATGCCCAACAGTTCAGACATGCCCAGAATTCTCCAACAGTTCTCCATCACCTACAGGTTAAAATCAAAGTCCTTTTCCTGCTGCCTGTCCTCCTCTCTTGCTAAGAATCCTTTTTATAATCCCAGATTAGAAGTTGTGACCTTGTATCTCCGTGTTGACACACAAGGCATTCACCTTTTTTTCTGGAAAATCTTATCTCCAGGATCTGGTGTTAACCATTCAATCCTCCCCACAAAAGAAAACTCGTGTGAGATTTCTTTCTGTACCTTCCCATAAGTGATCCTTCTAAATCTCAGTGACGTTTACTCAAGCATGTTAACTCATAATCACAGTTAGGTGTAAACACGTGAATGTCTTGGGAAGTCCCCATCAAGAGGGCATTCTTGAAATGCTTGTTGAAATTTCATTTGGAGAAGAGATTAAGTGCTCTCTAAAGAAAATGACGAGACAGCCCATCCCCACAATTCATGCATCACCCAACAAAACAAAAACCCTTGTAGTTAATGTGACCAAACCCCATGGAAGGCAGTTGCATGACCCAAACCCCTAGGACATTTCACTGCCCATCACAAGTGGCTTATCAAAGTACAGTGTTCCTTCCAACATTCCTTAAGGAAAGTTCTGATAATTACAGTTTTACCCATCATCCTCCCAGTGAGGTTGTGGTGCCTCAGTGATGTTTTGGAGAAAAAGCAGGCTATTCTGGTGACTTTGAATTGTTTGCGTATCTGTTTTCCACTAGACTACTATAAACTTCTTGAGGTCTGAGATCTTTATATTTATAAAATTTGATCTTTGCCTTCGCAGCAAACTAGCACAATGCCTGGAACATAATGTAAACCACGTAAATATTTGATTGTATGGATGATCTATCTTTTGGCTTTGTGAGTGTTGTAGTTTAAATATATGAAGTATCACTTTATGAAAAGTTATATTTTAACAGTTCACAACAAAGGGTCAAATGTAAGTGGACTGATGCCTGCCATTTAACAGTCTAAAATGGCGTTAACCATTGCTTGAAGTGACTGAAAGCCATTATCAATAGGTCAACACACTCGGTTTTTAACCTTTGGCACCTGTGCCTTGGCCCTGAACTTGCTGGGTAAGCATGGTTTTTGATAGCTCTATAAACTAGTTCTGCACTGTCATCTTGAAATCTGGATAAGATGACATCAGTATATCGGCACTGTCTACACATTTCCTGGTTGACTAGACCATCCAGGGAGGATGCTTCAGTTAGCTGTACAGAATGTGTAATACCAAAATGAAAGTAATATTTAAAAGGAAAGTTGGGCCAGAGGAGACTCAAACTAGTTATTCACACTTGCTTGCATCCAATAGTGTGTATTCCAATATACGAATATTTTATATTAAGCTAGGACTAAACTGGAACAGCTGACCAAGCTAAAAGAACTGAAGTGGCTTTAAATGAAAGAACGCCCCAAACATCACTAATTGTAATATTCTTCTGAATATTATCGCGCAGTACATCAGCGTTATGATTTAATGCTGAAAGACTTACTTCTTCTATAAGTGGCCAAATAGTTATTTTCCTGCACCTCAGCTTTCCAATCGATAGGTTTCCATTATCCCTGATGGTAATCTACCTGGGTGTCCTGTGAACTGTTTTTTCTCAACACTGCAGCTTGGGGCTTACTTTCTTATTTTTTTCCCTCCCATTATGACATCCTTTACTACTACTGTTTTGGGTCTTTAAACATTGCCTCATTTCCTTTGAAGATCACAAGCATGAAAGTTTTTAAAAATTTAATTTAAATCGGAAACATTAAATTTAATAAAAGGGGAATCCTAAGGGAATCCCCACCCAATTTAAGAAATACGAATCTGTCCTGCATAAAAAGTGGCGGCTTCAAGATTCTCGCAGCCTGAACACTGGAGACTGCGAAGTGAATGTAACTGCGCACTGGAAGCAGCAGCAGCGCCTGGGAAGCCTCTGGTGCCAGTTCCCAGCAAAGCCCCTGGCGCACTGGTCCCAGGCTCCGCAAAACCCCTGGGGCACTGGTGCCAGGCCCCGCAAAACCCCTGGTCACTGGTCCCAGGCCCCGCAAAACCCCTGGGGCACTGGTGCCAGGCCCCAGCAAACTCCCTTGTTCTCTTCAATGGGGTAAAACAGAACAAGATCCTGGTCTCCACCTGCCTTATCTTTTTCAAATGTTTCAAACTTACTGTCTTTGTTCAGCAGAACCGCGGGCACCGTGATGATGGTGACGAGGGCAGCAGTCCCCAGCAGTCCCAGGAGCACCTTCCACTGTGTCTGCAAGCCGGTCAGATCATGTCCAATTAGAGCGAGCCCTTCGGCCCCAGTCCTGGGTAAAAGGATCGGGGCCTGGGCCCCACCTGAGGCAGCGAGATTTGCCGATGGGCGCACGTTGGAAGAGGGGAACGGTGAGGGCGCACATTGGAGTGAGCCAGTCCGAGGTTTCAAGAGCGGTTGTCCTTGAACTTGTGGCCTCTGAGCACATTACAGTTTGCTTCTCTACGTCTGCACCTCAAAAGCCAAGTGAGGGTTCAGGCGTGCGTTTTAAGGGTGGCTCTGTGGGTTCTCCAAGGCTCAGCGCCAAGGTTCTAGCAGAAACGCCGCAGGTCCAAGACAGAGGCGACAGCTCTGGGACATCCCTTCACCTGTCAGAGGGTGGTCCTGGGGCTTCCGCCTAATGAAAGCCCCCGGTCCCGTTCCGCGGGCTTTGGGGACAATTTGGGGAGAGTATAGTGAAGAGGCACCTATAATTCGACCCTGGGGCTGGGGAAGCGGGAAGTGCGCTACTCACTCACCTTCATTGTCGGATTCTCCTCGGAACTGAGCGTCCGGAGGTGGGGGCAGGCAGAAGTCAGACGAGCCGCCCAGACGCGCGTCCAGCTCCACTGCCGCGGAGTCACTCGGCGCTTCCAAGTTTCGGCCCTGAGTTAAACATTAGTGAGCGGCCAGCCCGCTCGGTGTAAAGGGCCCCGGTACAGGCTACAGGAGTAGGCGCGCCGGCTCCGGACACTGGCATTCCGGCCGGGGGGCGCCCGAGAGGCACTTCCCCCGGGCTGTGCGGGGCTCTGGGCGGCAGCCGAAGCGCGCCGGGTGCGGCGCCCCGGGGTTGCGCGGGAGTGGTTGTGAGAACCCCAGCGGCGGTGAGCCGGTCCCTGCATTCGATGCGGAGACCCGCGGTCCAACTTAGCTGAAAAGAGCTTTGGAGCTCAGCTCCTGAAACCTCGCGTGGACAGGCAAGGGAACCCGGGCCAGAGAGGGCATGGGGCTCTGCAAACTCACACAGCTCACTGCTGGCAACTGGAGCTAAAACTTCTGGAAGACAAAAGAGAGGGAAAAGGTGATTTT